GTGCCGCGTTCGACCGCATCAAGACGTCACTGAGTAACGAGCCTGTCCTGGCCAAGTACTCTCCCAACTACCACACCACAGTATCTGCTGATGCATCTTCCTTTGGCCTGGGTGCAGTGCTTCTACAACGCCAGCCCGACGCGTCCGTCCGTCCTGTAGCCTATTTGTCTCGCTCTCTCACACCAGCAGAAACGCGCTATTCGCAAATCGAGAAGGAGGCTCTGGCTGCAACGTGGGCCTGCGACCGGCTCTCACACTACCTCCTCGGCATGCCATTCACCATTGAGACGGACCACAAGCCACTCATCCCTCTGCTCGGTACCCGTGCTCTTGACGACCTCCCTCCGCGGGTCCTCCGGTTTCGTCTACGGCTACTTCGATTCGATTACAGTGTTATCCACACTCCTGGCAAACAACTCGCAATTGCCGACGCTCTGTCTCGAGCTCCTCTGCGCAGCACAGATGCCGACGCTACTGCCACACTGGAGGCTGAGACCGCTGCTATGGTGTCGTACGTCACTGAGGCTCTGCCTGCCACTGCGCAACGCCTGGATGAGGTTTCAGCATGGCAAAGCGACGACGATAGCTGTGCTCGCATCATCGAGTATCTGCAGCACGGCTGGCCTGCTCCTAGCGATGCTCCTCCCGTAGTGCAGTTTCTTATAGAGCACAGCGCACATTTCAGCCTCACGGACGACGGCTTGATTCTGTATGATCAGCGTCTCTACATACCTCCCGCTCACCAGCAAGAAATCCTGGCTCGCCTTCACCAGGGTCATCAGGGCATCACCAAGTGCCGACGCCTGGCCCGCACTTCCGTATGGTGGCCATCGCTCTCGTCGGACATAGCTACTCTTGTCCAAACATGTGAAGAATGCAGTCGACACCGCTCTCAGCCACCCGAGCCTCTTCTCTCAACTCCACTCCCAGAGTTTCATTGGCAACATCTGGCCGCAGACTTCTTCACCATCGACGGTCGCAACCACCTCCTCGTCATCGACTACTACTCTCAGTTCATCGAGGTCCTCGACATGCCCTCGCTCTCCACAGCTCGTACAGTCAGCCATTTCAAGTCACTGTTCGCTCGCCATGGCATCCCTGACTCTCTAACGACCGACAACGGACTGCAATTCACCAGTGCTGAATTTGCCCAGTTTGCATCCACCTATGGCTTCCGCCACGTCACCAGTAGCCCTCTCTATCCGCAAGCCAATGGCATGGCCGAGCGTGCTGTTCGCACGGTCAAGGGTCTGTTCCGTCAGGGCACTGATTGGCACCTCGCACTACTCGCGTACCGCAACACTCCCTTGGAGAATGGTAAGAGTCCAGCCCAGCTTCTGATGAACCGCCAGCTGCAGTCACTCTTACCTCTCTCTCCAACACAGCGACAGTCGCATCCAGTCGATCAGAGCGACCTGCGTGCCGCGGATCAGCGCTTAAAGGATCGCCAAAGCACCAACCATGCCAGTCGCCATGCAGCCCGGACACTGCCGTCTCTGTGTCCCCAACAGCCTGTGTATCTACCTGATCGTGAAGAGTCTGGCCACGTGATGAGCCAACCAGCCTTGCGCTCCTACATCGTAGCAACCCCATCGGGCCAGTTCAGACGCAACCGGCGGCACATTGTCCCAATGCCAACGCCGCAACAGTTGCCGCCTGCTGGTCACTCTGCCGCTACTACCGATCCTGATCCCCCAGCCAGTCAACCTTCTACTCCGCCGTGTCCTGCAGTTCCCAACTTGCCATCGACCCCTCCAGCTCAAGACCAGCCTGATAAGTATGTCACGGCTCGCGGCCGTGTCGTTCACGCTCCCGATCGCTTCTAACTTTGGTCTCTCCAAACAAAATACTCCACTCTTCTGTCTCTCCCTCTCTTGCTCGTTCTCTTTTCTAATGGCTTGCATGTGCCTGTGTGTCCTCTCTACACCCTTAGGTCTTTTCTTTGTAAGAGGAGAGGATATACATGTACAATGCACTATACTAGAATACTCCCTCGGACAGACTAGTGCTTTCAGAACTCTGTAATGGATCCCTTCTGCAACGGTCTTATTGTTTTCATTTTCAAAGTCGTCCAGTTAGGTATCTTCTCCATCTTCTTAATCTAATGCCATATTTGCTCTTACAACCTCAAAGAAAGGGAGGTGTAGTGTCATGTGACTAGATGCATGAAGCCCATGCATACATGCATTCCGATATCATTCCCACCATCATGATCCACTTACATGATCTAGCATTCCATTCCTCCTTCCCACTTTAGCCCGTATGTATATATCTAGTAGATTGCATGTGTTCTAGGTTCTTTGTCTTATCGTAGTACAACAGTTAGAACTAAGGTCTTGGCTCTCTGGTTGGTCTGGTTAGACTAAAGTACGAAACACTACAATAATGTTGCGATGCCATTGCTATGCTGTGACGTACATGTAGCACTTTCAAGCCCATACAACCCTCGAGGGCCTCCGGGACACTGGCTGCAGTCACAAGAGACGTCTCAGTAACTAATGTTACTTTAGCACCACGTTACAACGTAGGCCTTTTGACGTACATGTACTTGATCACGTCGATCGGGGTGCGCGATACGTGTTTTGCATACTTGACTAGCCTTTAGCTAATTAGCGAGACGTGATTCTGGATCGGCGTCGTTGCCACAGGAACAGAGCAGAATGGCGCGCGTGATTTCAAAGTTCCTCGCGGGAAATGTGGAAGAAAAGACTTTTTTTAGTAAACTACATGTACTGTACTTCGAAAACTAGTTGATTTCCTTCAAGGAGAGAGAAAGAGAAAGAGAGAGAGAGAGATAGAGAGAGAGAGAGAGAGGAGAGAGAGAGAGATAGAGAGAGAGAGAGAGAGAGAGAGAGAGAGAGAGAGAGAGAGAGAGAGAGAGAGAGAGAGAGAGAGAGAGAGAGAGAGAGAGAGAGAGAGAGAGAGAGAGAGAGAGAGAGAGAGAGAGAGAGAGAGAGAGAGAGAGAGAGAGAGAGAGAGAGAGAGAGAGAGAGAGAGAGAGAGAGAGAGAGAGAGAGAGAGAGAGAGAGAGAGAGAGAGAGAGAGAGAGAGAGAGAGCGTGTAGTAGGCGCACATCAGGAAGGAGAACTACACTCACCAGCAAACTGTCGATCTCATTGTAATCCTCAGATGCACCAGTTAGTTGCCAAAGCAGCGAATCCATGTCACAAGCCTCTTTCACGGGCAAACAGAATACAACTGACGGTGGCATGGTGAATGATTAGAACACAACACCAAAACATGAAAGCAATTGTATGTGTAAACGGTACCATCAGCATCTGGTGGAGGAAAGATTAGTCCCTAATCCCCTTTTAACATCAAAATCAATGAAAAAACGCCAACAAAGGAAGAAGAAGAAAAAACACAGGAAATTCAGTCATGTACATGTACAAGTATAAGGGCAGTGTCCTGCCCACCATCATCTCCAAAACTTCACAGCCGGCCCTCCGAGATTGCCAACTATCGGGATTCGCAAAGCATTTACAGGACGGTGAATCGGTGATATGATGTCATTGATGATCGGGCACCGCGGATGCACATGATCGCCGGCCCGACCCCAACAATGCAAAAGCGAGTCGACACCGGACATAATTATGTCATTGTTTCGGAATACAGCTTCCTGTCCCCATCGGAAATGAGACCACGCAGGCGCTTGACAAATCTGGAGCACTCTGGCGCACAACAACCGGCCGTGGTGAAAACTAGTGGAGTAAATATCCCACGGTCCACATTGATGATACGCTCAGCATACTCCAGCTTCTTATTCCTCTCATGCTCTGCCAACAGTTTCTCGAGAGGTCTGGTGGCATAGGACGGAGCATCGGGATGAAAATACGGACATCCAAGAAAGCATTCTGTGGCCTGGTCCATAGCCCTCGAGCCCGGATATCAGCGCCAGCACTGTTGGCTGTGTTAGCTGAGACTGCCAGAAACACCTCTCCCGAAACCGGAGCAAGCTGAGCCTCAACAGCGACATCCGAGCAAACCTTAGTTAGTAAGTCGGCAAGAATGTCGCGAACTTCACTGTGCCGAATGGTGGGGAAACCAGCAGTAGGGTAAACGCATGGCATGGGCCGGACTAAACGGTTGGCCACAAGAAAAGGTAGTTGGCACATCAACCAAAGCCCAGTCTTACCGCAACGCCACCGCATCCCTGGAATCTCCCTTCGACAGATGATATCCGTGTTCTCTGATAGGCAGTGTGTTGAGCCAGCTAGAGACACCTGGGGAGGACAAAATGCTCCAACCGACATGCCATATCCCCCGACAGCAGTCGGCGGAATTCAGCCTCGCTTGTAGTGCCGCGTTGACTGGCTGCCGTGAGTCGTGACTGGGCTGCTGCGAATCCGTGTGGAGCGCAACCTGTGGCACAAGTAACATTAGTTCCCTGAAAAACGAGGAGCACAGCGATCTAGGGAATACATGAAGGACGCAATCTGTGGGCGCAATCTGCGGATTTCTTTGAAAAACATGAAGAGCACAGCGAATCCGTTTTCAGCGAAATCGGGCCACAGATTCCCGCCCCACGGATTCACTGAGCTCTTCATGATTTTCAACGAAATTCACGGATTGCACCCACAGACTGCGCTCCACATGAATATTCTCTGTGTGCTTCAATTCAGGGTTTGAGAGAAATCTACAGATTGCACGAACGGCGCACGTGTACTAGTATATTTGCACCACACGTACGTAGATCTACGTAGATCTACTCGGGTACTCCACGTGCCACTGGTGCACCGCGTACCGCTTGTGCTCATCAATCATCGATCATACTAGTACTTCATTCACATAGAGGCCAGAACTAGAACTAGAACTACATGTAGTTACTTATGACAATGAGTTATGTTTGTAGAAGTAGAAGTCTCGTAGAAGCTCAAGCACGCTGATTTACCGTGCCTGGTCTCGTGCCACAAAATCGTGTCGCATGCGCGCAGATTGTGCGGAACTGTGACAAACAAAACAGTTACTGTCAGTACTGTCATGTCAGTACTGACAAAAGTCGCGTCACACACGTTTGTCGTGTTTCCGCTGGTCACAGCATCGCTTTGACTAGAGAGCGCACAACTACTTTCGCAAGGAGAATGTTGTGCTGTTCGTCTTCAAGACGCTTCTCTCTCGCTGTTAGTTGTTAGCCAGAGTTCAGTGTTCTGCTGCCGAGTGAGGTGACCAGCACCTGAGAGAAAGAGAGTGCGTTATTGTGTTTCCAGTGGTCACAGCGTCGTGTTGGCTGGCGAGCGCTCAAGCTTGCAAGAAGATCTTTCTGCTTTTGAAAGAGTTTGCGCCTCGCTGTTAGCCATGTTGCAATGTTTTGCTGCTGAGTGTAATCACCAGCACCAGAGAGATAATTGTTCTTAATCTCGTTTCCCCGTGGACAAGGAGAAGGTAGCCCCCTCTAGGCCTCTGACTGGGTAAAGATGTGTCGGTAAGTAAACAAAGTGTGCTCTAGCTCTAGCTCTTGCGTCTTGGCCTTGCTGGGCCACAAAATGGCGTGGTCCAAGCACTTTTGTGAAATGTTTACGCGCACTTCCACATTTTCTTTCATGTTCAGAATCAGATTAGAGTCCGTGCTATTTTTTAGTAGTGTTTACGGACTGAGCTGTACAAGTCTTCCCTGGTCATCTTACGCTCAGTTGAACAGTGTAGTGGATACATCATACTGCAGTAAAAAAAGCGAATGGCCATGCCTGCACAATTACAAGGCCATCCGCAGAGGCGCGTAGGCGCTGGCGCTATGCGCGCAAACTAAAAAAATTCAAGAGCATTTTTTTGCGACGAAACACGAAATAAGCTGCAGAAGGTGATGTGGACAGGAAGAGGGTAAGTCAACCGTTGAAATTGCTGCCGTTCTGCTACCTCTGGCTCAGAGTTAGTTAAATTGTGTCAATCATTCGTGGGGTTCCCTTCAATAAGACTACACCGTCTGTAGGATTACCCTATTAAAATAATTAATACTTGGTCCGCGTGAGCAATATTGTCGCTTATCTTTCAACAGTTTAAACTTAGATTTTAGACAGTGCTTTCACTAGAAGTGATGAAACTTTGTACGAAGGAAGGTAAGACATAGAATAACAAGTAGCCAGAAGGAATTTATTGTCCATAAACGGGTTCATGCTTTTGTTAATCCTTCTCCTCACTGCTCTCCTCGCTAGCTCTGTCTGCGCTGCTGACAACTTCAGTCCCGACCGACTCCGAAGCCTTCGCAAGCTCATCACGCTTCTTCTCTGCTGCCTAGATGTTTTCTAAAAGAATGCTTGATCGTAACGATCGCCTGCTCTAGAGGCCTTCGCGTGGGAAGTGCGAGTGCATGTGTGGTGCGGATACGAATTGTCGCCGTCCGTTGCGAGAATTCCCTTGCACAACACGTACAAAATACGCCAAACCGATTCTATCTTGTCGACTGGACACGCATGCCACACATCCTGCACAGCTTCCAGTAAATTGAGCACATTTTTCTTCGCGACCATCTCCACGTCTTTCTGTAGGCTCGCGAAGAATGCGAGATCGTTCGTGTTCAGATCGGGAGATTGCCCTGGCTGCGTGCTGGTAGAAGACAGTTTTCCCAGCTTCAGGTTTACCAGAACCTCTGCAGAACTACCACATCTTCTTGTGAATACTGTCAAAGACGCTATCCTTACGCAACATCACCTTTCTGTAGTCCTCGGCATTCACGTTCAGTCTCGACAACAAGCGTCTCTCAAGCTACAGTACCCGTTCGCTAGTCACTGCGCTTCACCGTGCGCTGTAGGGTGAATGGCCACAGTCCAATCTTACCGTCGAAGGTGCTCGGGATGCGGGCGAGCTTTCTCATAGAGGAACATCACCTTAGGAATGCGCGATTTATGGAAGATCTTTGGGTCGCTGACATATACACTGCACTTGTAGCTCCGTTTTGCTTTGGAAAGACTCAACAAATCGTGCCATCTCGCATCAAATAATACCATTCCTCGTCCTCTTGGCACATGTTTAAATTGTCCACAAACCTTCTCCTTCCTCTGTTGTATTAGTCGATGGCCCACGATAGTCGATTGAGGCGATGGAGAACAGTGAGCTTGGGCTTGATGTATCTCCGTCTTCTCACGGCGCCAAGCGCCTGACACCACCGTCTGACGGACTTTTCTGAGCATGGATACCTAGCTTCAGTTAGCTCCCCTGCCAACTTTTTGCACAACTGTCTCCCCCACGCCTTGTCGTTGATCTCGACGATTTTCTTGGTAAGCTCAGGAGTCAACTTGAGATTAAAGCCACCGCAAAGGCTGGCGCGCCGACGAGTCATTCTGATGTTTCCCTTGATCGCAGTATCTTGCGCATGCTTCTTGTAATTTTCCACGATACGCTGGATACTCCGATCGTTGATCTGCAGGTGAGGAAACTGAGATTTCAGCTTGGCGATGGATCCCCGCGGTAAGCGATCCCGGCCTTTTACTATGGCCATGTTCGCTGTGACAATGCGCCATTGATCCGGTTTTTATTTTATTTCTGCTCCTCGTTTACGTGGCGTCGCTTGTTTCCCTTGCATTGCAGGTGTCACACCACCAGCAGCTATCTTCACAAGTCACACCGCCAGCAGCTATCTTCGCAACCACTCTCTTCAGCCGTGGAGCCTTCCTCCCTGGTGTTCTTGTGCTGTTGTTAGTTGATCTAGCCATGATTGCAACGGGAAGAAGAATGGAACTAATTCAGAGGAATCGTAGATTTTATTGGTCATCACGTTCTCTTACCTGTACTGTGTAACAAGATGTTCTATTTTGATGCGTCATGGCATCGATTAGAACCACCCCGCTTGTTCTCGAAATTCCACTCAATACGTAGCTAGACCTTTCAAGTAGTGATAAACCAACTTACAAACTGAAGGTGGGAGTGAATTGGCGGTCAAATGAGCATTGGCGACATAAAAAAAAAGAAGCTAGTAGATAGGCGACAATTTCGCTGACGTGGACCAAGTACCAGTACTTGGAAGCGTGTTTTTTTATTTGCCACATAAAATGATGATGTAAAGAAAGAAAGGCGCTCAAGCATTGCACCCGGAGGCAAAAATGAACTCAATCCCTAGCCTAGGCTCAATGAGGTCGTGCATTTGTACACATTTCAATAGGATCCACATACAACTCCGACAAACCTTCCATCTACACAATGACAACCAGAAACCGTTGTCTTTTACATCCCCTAAATACGTGTATGGTCGGCTCCACTTATAACAAAACTCCAAAAACAGCGAAATTCGTGTGACGCACATGTAGCGAACCGCTGTCCTTGTCCCTGTTTGAACCTATGAAAATTGACCCTGTTCATAGATAACCGTTCTCGGTTATAACGGCCGGACCATAATCTTGAAGAGCAGCATGTCAACCAAGGGCACTCCTGTGTGTGTACATATAGGCCACATAATAATATTATGAGGTGTTGCTTGTAAACATTTAATGTGAGTGCATTTCTTTTATAACAAACTTCAAAGCCCACCTGGCTCTCTGTGCTGGAGAGCAGCAAATTGGTGATTCCAGGGGAGGAATTGTTCAGATTTAGCCCTCTGCAGGACATGGCTTACCTATGTTCAACGAGGCATGGATAATGCTTGTCACGCGAACTACATGATCCAGTGTGCCAGTGTACTACTGGTAGCTGGTTGGGACCTGAGTGCCTGGGATTTTTTCAAAGTAAAGAGTGGATAGAGAAGATGACAGCCGCCACTGAGTGGTCATGGATGAACACAAAAGTTGACAGATCACTTGTCAAACTGGGATGGATAGCGAATGATTAATTTATAGTAAAGAAAAAGGACCAAGAACCTACAAGTTACACTATAATGTCCGATAACATCACCAGTTACTTGGCAATCCGCTCATGTGGTCAGTTGTGTGCAATGTTATCACATGAGCTGATTGTCAAGTAACTGGTGATGTCAGCGTAGTTTCTGGGTCCTTGTTCTATACTATAGATCACTTATTGCAGAGTATTTTGGCTGTCCACTGATCAAAACTGCTTGGGATGTGTCAAAAAGACAAGACACAACTACTTTTTTGTGAGGAAACCGACCAAGTATCAAATTTCTTGCGCTTGATCAGATGACATCTGGTCTAATTCTACTAGTTCCCCAGAACCCTTGATCCTTCAGCAACAGCAGAGTATTCAGCATTGTACAAATCAAGGGCATTTCTTCTTCTCATTGCTATTGGATGTCTTCTACATATCAGGTGTAAGATTGTTTCGTTCTATTGAATAGTCTAATAGCAGTGATGTGGCTGCCCTGGCTGTAGATAATTTGCCACGTTGATTGTTTTTTTTTATTGATTTAGGTGAGCTTGATCGAATCTTCACTTCACTAGTGCCAATTGATATGTCAGAAGCTACAATGGTAGCCATGGAAGAGAGGAGCTTCACGGAGACGATCGAGATCCAGGCGAAAAAAGTATCGGTCCTCTGCTGATAGGAACGTAAGTACATGATGGCCGTACAAAAACCTTCATGAATTGTTTGTATATTGCACGGAAATGGTGAAGTAGAACAAACTGGTTGTTCTTCTAGGATATTTGCATGAGCCAGGAAAAGGCTAATTGCCTTGCGTTTGCTGCTGATGGTGTCGGCAACGAGCATAACGGTTTTCTTTTGCTAACCCTTCAGTCACCTGACAATCAATTGTGTTCTTTCTGCCTCTGCTCTGATATGCTAACTCTAAGTCCAGGACAAACAAAAGCAGAACAATCGGACAATGGGACTTTTTACTCATTCTGCCAGGCTGAGGAAGCAATTCTCCAGTGCGCGGACGTTGCAACAAGAGGTTTGGACATTCCTGAAGTGGACTGCATCGTACAGTTCGATCCTCCGGATAACCCCCAAGGTTCGTAGGTTATGCACTCTGTGGCTTTGCAGTGGAAGGATTTGTTCTTTGAGATGATAGTCAGGGATGGGGGGGGGTATAGGGGGACGAAAAAATACCAGTTGAGGGAATGGAAAAGGGAAAAGTCTGAACGAAGAATGTCAACTGTTACTTGGCGACGAAGAGACCAGTAAGATACTGGACGAAAGCAGTTTAACTACGATTTGTAGCAGCACACCACCCGACGTTTCTTGTACTCATTTTTGTTGCGCGCATCTTCCCCTCTTCGGTCTCTTCCTAACCTAGAATCTTCCGAGTTGGAAAGCTGCTTGTTAATGCTTTGGAGATGTGTTGTAGCTGGGTGTCAGGTCGTCGAATGTCTCAGTACTCTGTCATTTTTGTGCCTAGTTGCTACACTTTCTGACTGTATATAGTATCTAGTTATAGAGGTGGATAGGTGCTACAATATTTGGCAAATGTGGATTATCAAAATTTGGAAACGTGATAATTATATCATCCGAAAAATATCGACAGTTGCTACATGAAGGCTAGGTCTGAAGCGAAAGAAATGCTAGAGAAGAAGAAACTAGTGGCCATTCGGCAGTTTTCTGGTAATTTATGAAACCCGTATACTATTCACACACATCAAAGTTATACTTGACATGTTGTCACAGTAGCAAAATACTCTCAGAGTAACTATCTAGTTGGTCAATGCTACCAAGAGTCCATGATACCCCAGAGTGTGCAACTTCACTGATCAGACCTGGGATGGCGAATTCCTTGTTGCACGTCATAGTGTGATATCTTGAGTAGGGGAGGTGTGTCCGTGGTGGACCGCGTCGACGGAATGATGCAAGTCTGACCCAAAAAATGACGTCCATCATGGATTTCGCCGTCCCACAACCCCAACCCAGTTGCGCCCTCTGGGGGATTATAGACTAATGGTGCTAGTCGTACTCTCTGAAACACTGTCCATTTCAAAATGGGATGGCTAGCCTTTAGGACCCTAGCAGACAGAGCAAGCAATGTACATCTTGATTCCGGTCGTATCACCCTGGTAGCAGACCTTTCAATTGCCTCTTTTACTCATTCCAGTATGCATATGCTGCTCGTCTTCCTCGTCAGCTTCCTCATCTCCCTCAGAATGTCATCGCTTCCGTCCACTTGCAGGTAATGGAGCTAGCTAGTCAAGCGTAAGACCAGGCTGCCGTGCTTGGGAAGCACGGAAATTGGATTGCGAGTCCGAGGCTGGACGGAGCAGCTCGTCAGTATTCTCCTTCCTGTACTCTTGCATTAGTATGTAAGCGTCGGTGGTTGCGTTATCCACCAAATCTTAATACATATCCTCTCATGGTTCTTCTTGAGCGGCGTAGGAGTCGGTAGCTGGAAGCGACCTGATCGAACACATCCACGCCACCCATGTGCATATTGTAATCGCCGATTGCTTCTGAGCGTCGAACTGGCTGCTGCACCCAGGTCCCGTTCATGCTGCCATGTCGTCTGATGTCACCGCGGCCAGTTGCTTGTGCCGTGCTCACAGCACAGTGACCACCCGTTTATCTAACAATTGGATATACATAATTCCGTCTCGTCGTACATATCGAATATCTCCGCGATTGCCTGCATGCTCCAGGACTTTGATGTTCTTTAGCGAGTAGGAAATCCAGCCCTGTTGCTACATACTATGCCAGTTAGATGACCTGCTCAGGAATGATTGTGCTCGCCCATGCATTTGATGTACGAGAATTATCTGCATAAAGGCAGTATCCCTGATCAAGAAATACTTCAAAAAGCGGCATTACGACATCATTATGTCAGGCCATATTCGCTGACGTCAAGGGCTTGACCGGTGCTAGTCTCAAGGGAGTAGTTGTAGTTGTTACTGAAATCACAAACGGCATAGCTCTTGATTCCCCGCTCTGCTGATGTATTTTTGAACTACACTTTCATACCTTGTCTCCTCTTGAAGCGAATCATTCTTTCGTCTAGGGACACACGGCGCTTCGGCTGCCAATACTGTACTCCTTGCATGCTGAGCGGACACAATCATACACATAGCTAACCTTGTAGGGACGATCCCCTTGAGTTATTTGTTGGGCTGTCGACATGGAGAAAGCACAGCAAGATCTCAAAGCGGTGTCTGGTGAAGAAGGCTCTTTTTCGCAGAATATTATACAGGCAGGTTGCAGTGCTCCAGTAGGTACTGCCCAAGACTACTCTCCAGTAGTGCCCAAGACTTCTGTTGTGCACTAGGCTCATAAATAGCAGGACAGCAATAAACTTTCTCATTTCGTCAACATTTGTCTCTTTCCAGCTTCCACCAGACTGGGCTTATGATGGCCTCTGGGACAGAATCCACACCCAAGCATACGTGCTGGGGTGATCCGCAATGGTTTGGATGACTTGTTCAAAACAAATTGAAGAAATCCTACTCACTCTCAGCCTGGAATTCTTGAGGTACTGGTAGGTGTAAACCAGCAGCTCTCTCTGGTTCAAACGCGAACACGGATGGGTTTTCAATTGTCTTCCTCTTCCCAAATCCTCTACTCACCAGCCTATGTTACACCTAGACCTCGCCACATTGTTCACTTCTGCCACGGTGCTTACCTCTGCCAAATTGTTCGCCTCTGGCATGAGCTGCACCTCAATTCACAGCGCCGGTCAAAATAGCTAGCAGCTTGATGCCAAGCGAAAACATATCCAGGGGATGATCATAGTCTGGTTGCTCTACCAATGCTTCTGGCGGCATAAATAGCAGAGTTCCTCGACAGCGAGTCATGACTATTCTAGCTGTTGTTGCCGAGGGAAAGCCAAACGGCATGCAACATGATGATCAGCAGCAGGCGCAGCTCCACGACGCGTGGCACGAGCTCCTCATTGACCATGACCAGCCCGACGAGAGCCATGGCTTCCGCGTCCACTACCTCGACCTCCTTCATCCTGAACAACTCTAGTAGAAGAATCTTCATCTGGCTCACATTCAGAGTACGCCAAACAGTCGCGGCATCAAAAAATAGTTGTTTGATATTGAGGTTTTCTTCCTCCTCTGCTTTCCATCATATCGGTCATCTGATGTTTGAAGTAGCATGAAACTCTGTGTTGCGACGAATCCTAACTGGCCTCTTTTCACTGCCTCATTTGTATGTGAGTCATAAACGTCCTGGGTTGATGACGAAGGGGAAAACCCCGCCTATCGAATGAGGCCAGGATCGATACCGTAGCATATCTAGAGCCCACTCAAACCCAGCATGGCAGTGATTGGACATCGATGTTGGATCATTGTATGGACCAGCCAATATACGGGTAACAATGCTGGTAAACGTGCTTGCCTTGAAGGTACTGCGTTTGACAGATATGGCGTCGTTTTCGAAATGATGAATTAGTAAACAAACACTGCCCGTTTTCCTGCTTCCGTATGATCAATGGTGTTGGTGTCTGTCTGTCTCTCTGTCTCCCCCTGTCTCTTTCTCGGTCTCTTTCCCTCTCTCTCTCCCTCTCTCTCTCCCTCTCTCTCTCTCTCTCTCTCTCTCTCTCTCTCTCTCTCTCTCTCTCTCTCTCTCTCTCTCTCTCTCTCTCTCTCTCTCTCTCTCTATCTCTCTCTATCTCTCTCTCTCTCTCTCTCTCTCTCTCTCTCTCCGTCTCTCTCTCTCTCTCTCTATCTCTCTCTCTCTCTCTCTCTCTCTCTCTCTCTCTCTCTCGCTCGCTCTCTCTCTCTCTCTCTCTCTCTCTCTCTCTCTCTCTCTCTCTCTCTCTCTCTCTCTCTCTCTCTCTCTCTCTCTCTCTCTCTCTCTCTCTCTCTGTCTCTCTCTCTCTCCCTCTATCTCTCTCTCTCTCTCTCTCTCTCTCTCTCTCTCTCTCTCTCTCCTCGAATAGGAGTACATTCATCAAGTTGGGAGAACTGCCCCTGCTCGAACCAAGGACAATGCTGTGCTGTTTCTGCTCCCCGAAGAGCTCACATTCCTATTCTTCTTGAGGCATGCAAAGGTATGTCCTTGGTGACGCATATGTATTGCCTTGGCCTCTGCTTCCCTTTGGCTTTAGCTATGTACGTTGGGTTTGCTTGGGAGATGTTAATGGCGATGCTGATTCTTTCTGTTCAAAGAACAACAGTGGGGGCCCGAATGCAATTTCCTTTCTGCAACCGTTCAAATTGCTTTGAGAATGGTCTCTGTAGGGTTTTCTATGCAACGTTTCTAGATTTTACAATACTCACAACGAGTATTTGAGCGGAAGGATGACACCTCTAGTATAACTAGGATCATAGGCCACATTGCCTGGAATAGTTAGCTGTCTGCAGAATTCAGTAACTAGGATACTTTCTATGTGTGCCTGTGTGTGTGTGTGTTGTTTGTGTAGGTACCACTAGAGGAGTATGACCTTGGACCTAAGAAGATTGGATACCTTCAGTCACAGGTATGTCATGCACATCAACAGCACACACGGCAGACTGCACTCAGGGGCGTCGGACAAGGTACGGTCACTATAGTATTGACCGTACCACTTTTTGCCCAGGTACCTCGTGAATCAAGAAAATGCATTAAGACCTAAGTATCCAAAATTTTCGGCTCAGCCACCACTTTCCCGCGAGCGAACTGTACTTCAGATGGCTGATCGTACCACACTAAAATACCTTGTGACACCCCTGGCACTATCGTTGGTACATGGTGCTGGGCAGGCGACACTGGTATGGCTTGTGCAGCCATAACTGTTCAAGTTCTTTACCAATTCCAGCGTTCATGGGTTGCTCTGTCTGCAACTGACTATCTGGAAGTATGGAATGAGGTTATCTTATGTAATAAGATATCCTTGTGCACTCCTCTCTAAAGTCTCTCCCTTTTGAACTGTTTTTCTTGTCAAGTGAGGTATACAGCTCTAGCTGCATATCTGTTGCTACAGGAATAATATGTACGAATATGTACGAATATGGATGAATATGTAGCTGAAACAAACAGGCATGATGCATAGAGCTAGAGATGTATCCTGACAGGATTTTGAAATTGGACATGGGGAAATAATCGGTCCTGTGGCCTACTTGGGGCCCGCACCACCCCGCAGGACTTAGTAGTGAGGAGCTGGTCCCGGGACTGTGATGTACACACCACCCCGCGCTCGCACACACACACTCACACACACACACACACACACACACACACACACACACACACCATGTAAATGCACTTACATACACACACACACACACCGTGTAAACGCACATATATGCATGCACACACACACACACACACACACACACACACACACACACACACACACACACACACACACACACACACACACATGTCATGCAAACACACTAATACAGCACCGGCAGTGTAGCTCTGGGCTGCATTGCGAGTGGCACCCTGCTGACTCTGTTTGATATATTGTGTAGTAGCTCTCTGTACGTTCTATTGATCTACAGGTCATTTTCTTTTTATCATCTTAGCTTGGGAGACTGATTGAGGAGAATATCTACATCAATCAATTGTAAAGGAAGCCTTCAGGTCGCACTTGCGGGCGTTTGTGTTACATGGACACAAATCAACATTTTACGTCAAAGAACAGGATCTACAGCGTGTGGTGAATGTAGGTATGTGTGTTTGTGTCTATGTGTGTCTGTGTGTCTGTGACGCTGCGTATGTGTGTGTGTCTATGTGACTGTATGCGTGCACATGTGTGTTTGTGTGTGTATGTCTCTGTGTTTAGGTCTGTGTGTGTGGGTATGCATGTGTGTTTGTGTGTGTGTGTGTGTGTGTGTCTCTCTCGGCGCCATCATACGTACAGATTGTCGATCGGCTCATGACATCAAGTCACGCATTGCTGGAGCATCGAGGGCCTTCGGGGCGCTGCGTCGTACGGTGTTCATGGACCGCAATCCATCAGTTGCCACTAAGCGCCAGGTGTTGTATCCCTGCTGCTCTACTACTCTGAGTGCTGGGTGCCGCTGAGCCGGGATGTAGCCGCCCTCTCCACATTCCATACGAGATGTATCCGTTCGATCCTGGGTATCAATCAACTTGACATCTGGACATCCCGCGTGACTAACACAGAGGTTCTGGCAATCTGGAACTCCGCCAGACAAGACGATCTACCGACCTGGCTCCTGCGTCGCCGAATGGAGTGGCTTGGTCATCTGTGCAGAATGGAGGGGGAGCGTACTCCGCGTCAGCTACTATTTAACGCCCTCTTGCCGACCCGTCCTGCCTGTGGCCCTCGGAAGAGGTGGCGTGACGCCTTGGGAGCGGATGTTCGATGCCTCGACCTGGGCGATGAGGAATGGTTTGACCTGGCACAAGAGCGCAGTAAATGGCGAGGGCCGTACTCCAGCGTTGCGTCATCTGGACCACGCCCGCAACCACGAAAACCATGCGCCGTCTGTGGCCGGTCACTGTCGAAGAGTGGTATGGCCCGACACAAGTGCAAAGAGGAGCGCAGCAAGCCGATCGCAGATCAGATTGGGAGCAGAAAATGCCCGGCGTGTAAGAGATGGTTCAGGAGCGCCGGAGGCCTCGCTGTCTATAAGTGTCGACCCGACGACGATCGTTCTACAGGCACAGTGGCGAACCCTCCTTTGTCTGCGCCCAACTCGGTTGCGGCAGTACCAGTGCCGGCGAGGACTCAGCTAACACTACCCTGCTGCCAGGCTCATTGCAGCGCATGTGGCAGATGCTGCCGATCAAAGAGGGGTTTCCAACTCCACAGCTGCGCAAGGTATACCCGAACTCTCGTTGGCCGCTAGCCTGCGGAGCGTGCTGCGCACCGTATTGAACGACCCACCCCATGTCTGACAGCCCCTCGTATGAGGGGACATGTGACCGTTTTACGGCAATGTTCAGGACAGGACAGGTGTGTGTGTGTGTGTGTGTGGTCTGTGTGTCTGTGTGTGTGTGTGTGTGTGTGTGTGTGTGTTT